TTCTGATACCTTCTCAGCTTCTAGTTGCTATCCTGGTCTAACTTCTAGCTCAGTATCTATTTAAATCCCGTTCTGACTTCTAGCTCAGTATCTATTTTAATCCCCCAAGGTCTAGAAACCGATGAGTAGGTTTGTTGAGAGGACTGTTCATCTGAGTAGGATTTTGTACACAGGATCACCAGACTTTGAAGAAAAATCACCTGAACAAGTAAATAGACACAGGGTCAGATAACATAAAAAAAGGAATGAAAAAAAAATCAGAGCAGACTCAAAACATAACCCTAAATTGTGGGCAAAAGATAATAGGAAAGCATAAAGCTGAAAGGAATCCATTTTAAAAACCACATAGACATAATTTGAGAAAAGAAATGGAGAAAGAGATGGCCAAGGCAAAAAAATGGGCAAGGAAAATGGAAAAGAGAAGTGGAACATGGGGGAGAGAAATCAGGAAATGAGGAAGGAGGGAGGGGAAAAATTTTAATGTGATCTGAAAAACTATACCCTGTTTTTCTGTTTGCACTATTTTTCTCCTGAATGCTGCCAAGTTTGTTAATGTTGCAGAGGAGAGGAGGAGGTTAGATGGATGAAGGAAAAGGGGAACTATCACACAAGGATGTGTCCTGTACACTGCCTTATCCACCAGAAAAAGCAGTGGTAGAGTTAAAGAAGGTATCTGATGGTCTGTAACTTAGCTTCACGTTGGAAAACTTTACATGTTTATAAATGTGTGTCCCTGAATACAAACAAGTGAAGCTAATGACTGCAGGTTTTCTCCCTCCTTTCCTTGTTTGTGTCTGTTGTCCTTAAGTGTTTTTCCTTTACAGAGGAAGGCTCCAGTATGTATTTTTAATAGCTGCTTAATTAATCTTGCCTTTGTTTCTGATGAGGGTAGTCACAGCTGACACTAGCAGACTAAAAACCTGGTAGTACTGGAGGAATTTTGTTTTCCTTCAGTTTTAGAAAGGAAAAAAGACCCCACAAAATCATGTTACCCTGGAGTAATGTTTGTCTTGTTTGGGTAAATTCTCAGTACTGAAGCTCGTTTTTATGATATTGTGGTAACGTATCTTGAGCATGTGCAACTAGATCTGCTGCCCTTCTTAGCCTCATGCTATGTTTTGCTGTTTAATTGTAACCCTTCTCCAAGGCACAGATTGGCAACAACAGAGCCTGCTTTAATTTAATTGGGTTCTTGCTAAAATTGTTACACAAAACTGGCTTGACCCTCTCCCAGAAGCCTGGGAAATTCAATTACACTCTTTGAATGGCTCAGGAATGAGCAATGCTTCTCCGCTTGTGAGCACAGAGTTAAACAATGGCTTTAAACAAACAGAACTTCTTGTAGGGGAGAAGCAAAGCAAACCCAATACATCTATTTGAAAAACCTGAACAATTCAAAATACACAAGACTGCTGCTGCCAAGACTGTTGGCAGCAGTCCTGGCCAAGTCGTCTTCTTGCTGTGAGGAACTGGTAGCCCCTCACTTCTCTCATCACCAGTTGATGTTTGAGGCTAGAAGGGTCCAGCTGAGGTACACGCTGTTTCCACAGAGAGCATTTAGTTTCTAGGCCTCCAAAATGTATCCCAGCTTAAGGAGTTGCTGTACTGCTGTTGAATAGCTTTGGGCTCTCCATCTTTCCCAATTCCTCCCTCTTCCTTACTGGGTTCAACACTAGCCCTTCTGTTCCACTTGGCTGCCTCTCAGCACAGCCCACATGGTATTTTCATTCTTTTAGAAAGGGGTCAATCACCAGAATCCATACAAAGATGTTACAACAGAAGGAAAACTTCCTGAACAGAGGTGGCTGCTGCTTTTTTTTTTTTAAATTTTTTGTTTTCTTCTCAAAAAGCTCTTGGAGCCTTTTTTGCCTAGGGCTTGTTAGTGACAGTGTTGCAATCTGCAGCAGTGAGTTGGGACAGTATTTTTTCAAACTGTGGGTCAGGAAAGGACTTAGAGGTGGTTGTGAGTTGCTCACAGTAGCCAGCAGACAGTTTTAATTGTCAACGGTAGTAGTTCATTTTCTTCAGGGCAGAAGTGAGCTGCTAATTACACCAGATTTTCACTCCCCTGTCCTGGAGGAGCTGAGCTGGTACCAGCAGTTAGAAGTAGTTACCTGTTCTCTGGGTGGCATAATGCTTTTGTGGAGACAGTAACGGGGGAAAAGAAATAAAGACTTATTTTCACTTTATTTATTCAGATAAAGATCCCTAAGGGAGGGTGACCTTTCAAAAAGTTTGAGAAATGCTCAGTGTGCTTTCTCATCCTGGACACGGATCAGGAAAAAATTGGATATTGAGCCCGTATTTTCCCCAACTTTAAAAAGTGCTGTTACTAACGGGAATGGCCCAGGATGTTCTAAACCACTGCAAATTAGGTCTGGACTGTTCCAGTCATCTCCCATTACCTTCCAGTAAATACCAATAACGTTGCTGTAGCAGTGAATGGAAATTCCTGGAGCTTCTTGAAGGAGCATTTCTGGGTAGAGACCAATAAAGCACACCCATGTTTTCCATCTTGGTTCCTGCAGTGCTGGCATGTGGGCATTCCAGCAGAGGGGTGATGCCACAGGCATGTTTGGATTTTGAATATTCCTCAGATGCTCTAAGATCCTTTTGGTGATGTTGCCAGTTGGCATAAGCTGGAGGAGCCTGAAAGCAACTCTGATCCGTCACAGCAGGGCAGAAGGGGTCAGTGAGCTGTTAGCTTTCCCTTTTCCCCTGTCCTTGGTGGTCCTGGAGAGTGGAGTGAAGAGGATGTTCAGATATTCCCCAGGGCTTTTCCTGCTGTTCTATGGTCAGTCTGTGTGTGAAGGCAATTTACCAGCTGAACTGACTGCATGTGGTCTACTGTCAAAGTAGCTCTGCTGGGTGTACCGACCTTTTCTAACGCTGCTCTTCCTTCTCCCACTGCCTAAGTTAGGCTGCCAGTGGGTTTGCTGGGAGACTTTGTGTCTGCAGTGGGAACTGTGTGCCTTGGTGGCCTTGACTCCTTCACTCTCATAGTCAGGCAAGGTAAGGAGCAGCCAGAACTCGCCAGAACTCTTCTCTCCACTTCTGCAGGGCTTTGACAGCTTGGCAGGCGAGGGACAGCAGCTGTTGGGAGTGCTCCCTCTGCATGTAAGGATTTCATAGGAAGCCATGGGAAAGAGCAAGGGTGGGCTGAGTGCAATCACACAGCTCATGCTAGTTCTTCCATTTCAAAATTTCAGGCCTGGCTACAGACCAGTATTTGCAGTTAATAATGAAATGTACATTTTCATGGACGTGACTGCCTGCGATAAGCTGAATAACCCTGACTTAAATATTTACTTGTGTATGTTTCTCTAAATGCCTGCAAAGTAGCTTTACAAACTGTTCACGAGGATTGTTTTGGCCCGTGCTGACTGTTCTGCCTCTGAGTATTTATCAGAATTGTGCTGCCAAAAGCTGGCATGGAGAAATGATCCAGCCTGGAATTTAGCTTGGATCTTATAGCAAGCATTCTTTCAAGAAAACTCCTTTCTTGCAGAAAGTTTTAAATGAACGTGAGTGGGCAAGGACTTGCTTTTGGTTTTCCTGCAAAAGATCCTTTGTTTAGACCATACCCTTTAGTTGCCTTTTAAAACTGACTAGGAGAAAGGAATCCTTTGAACAAAGCTGTCACCTGAACTCAGTTTATATGCTTAACTGTTGTGATCAGGGGGACAGAATTCTCTTCTTGTCACACTAATTAAATTAAACATACATATTTTTTGTAATTTGTGTTTGTATTTGCTTCGTAATTCATCAGAGAATAAAGATGTGAATTAAAGGAGTATGAATGTGTTCACCACCTGTAGAAAACATAAGTGTTTCTAGGACCAGTACTTCACATTGCAGCAAAAAAGTTGAAAACCATTCTCTAACAGCCAGACCAGAATGCTCATTCTAGATGGATTCTCAGGGAAAAAAAAAAAAACAAAACCACAACAATTTTTTGCCCACAGGGAGTTCATTAGCTTGTTAAAATGAATGTGGTTTGAATGTGATCCTGAAAGTCTAAGTCGGCCGAAGGCTTACATAGCTCTCACTTGAGATTGGTCCAAGCTGGTGATTTTTAACTTGGAAGTGGCTGTGAACAGAAGATGCAGCTGGCAGATTGCAGGAGTACTGACCCACGTGTGAAGAATAAGCTGGTAATGGGACGTGTGGTTGCTGATGTGAACTCGTCATCGAGTTACTGGGAGCCAGGCTGAGCCCAGTGACCTCCAGAAAGAGGATGTGTCCAAACCTGCTTGGAGAGCCAATTGCCTCTCCTTGGATGAGGGTTAAACTGTTTCTTACAGCAAAGGTGAATTGGGAGCACAAAGTCCACTCCTGTAAGGTTGAAATACCAGTTAAACAGCTCTTTTTTGCAGATATTTTTGGCATTTCACGCAGGCAGAAATTGTCTAAAGCTGCTGCATGCATTCAGTTCAGCCACACTTGTGGAGCAATAGGGTTGTGATTGTCATGAGTGACCAACCTTAGATGTGATCATTTGGGGCTCTTATTCAGACTGTGCTGTGTTGGGGGGCCACAACCATGGTCAGTGTTGCATAAAACTGGCTTTTTTTGATAGTGAAACCTGGAACTGCTTCAGCATTTACAGCCTATGTTTTGCTACTGCTGTTTGCTACTCACAAGCAAGTCTAACTGAAATTTTTTTTATGGAATAGTACATCTCTAGTACATTGGCCTGAGGATTAAGACAAATTAGCTCCATTTGTGTGTCTCAGTGTTTCATCTGGTTCAAAGCGAAGTCCCTCAGAGTAATGAGGAGAATTAACAGTCCAGAACTGGAGATAGCACTGCAGTGGTTTTTTGCTGTCTCACTGAGGCTGTAGAACCAGGCATCTGGCTGTCATTAGGGTTTAAATTCTTTTGCAGCAAATGAAGTGGTTTGAACTGTCCACTCAGCTGGTCGGTATCTGAGGTGCAGAGCAGTCCTGCTGCAGGTGGCCTTGCCTTGCCATGCTTTCCCTTCGCCTGAGCTTTGCTGGGCACTTAGCCAAAGTGAATGAAGGACTCAAAAGCCAGCCAAGGAAAACACAGCTTTGAAAATACCACCACTTCTCCAGGCAGTTGCAGATGAGACTATGTAACTGCTTCTACTGATCACTTTTAAACCAACAGCGGATGGACTTGGGTATATCTGGAAAAATCTGAGTGAAATTTTACATTTTTTCTTTTAAATCATAAGAAAATTTAATTCTTCAATAAGAATAGGACTGGGACCTAGGAGACTGAATAAAGGTTTGGAGACTTTGGGCTAGAAAAGCCTAGTAGTTATGGACCTGGGGACCCAGTCTACAAGTACTTCCTGAAGATGACTGCTCCTGGATGCCCCTACACAAAAAGGGGGGCCAGTCTTGGCACTGGGGAAGCTTGGCTCCTACCGAAGCTGCAGTGTGATCTCACATTCTGGTGAAGAAGTCACTATACCTTGTCCAGCCCCCATGAGGGGACAAATCTGCTGAGCCTCCCATGTCAGTGAGGATGTCTAACCCAAGGAGCAGCAACTTTAACCCAAGGAACAGCAACATGTTCTTTTGCCCAGCAGTGTGACACAACTGGTGGATCTGGATTAACTGGTCCCTGCAGGTTGAGGAGATTTGAATGCATTTGGAGAGTCCCATACCCGCTGGGTAGGAGAAGCCAAGCTGGTGTAAGGAGGCTGGCAAGAGCCCTAGAGGGAGAGCCAGCAGAAGGTGGCCTGGCTAGAAATGGGGGCTTTGGGGACCCATCTGGAACTGGGCAGGGGAGCAGTGTTACAGTCCCTCTTGCTTGGGCTTTTTAGATGGTTTTCAGTAACAGTCGTGACTTAAGAAGAATGGTTACAGGAGCCAAGGACCTGTGCTGCTGGCTGGCCTTAGGGCCTCCACTGCCTCCACAGCAAAGGTGGCTGGTGGGTGTTGGGGTGCCGTGGCCATCCTTGGCGAGCTGGAGCCAAGGCTGCTGTGGCTGTTGTTGGGGCACAGCCACACCCTTGAGGCACAAACTGAGCAGTCTGAGCTCTGGAGTGGAAATACCAATTTGTCATGGGTCAGACTGGGTTGGTGCCTCTGTCTTGCTCTTCCCAGACAGAAGCCATCTGGTTTTCATAGACTCTCTTGACCATTCCAGGGATGCTGTGCACAGTTGCATGTCATAACTGCCTGTACATTGTAGAAAGGGGCAGCTGCAGCCTCGGTCAGCTTCCCAGATGATTTGGGTGGTTAAAAGTTCAGATGCTATCAATTTCAAGTCCTTTTTTTTGGGTGGACTTCAGTTGCATTATATCATGCATTATATCTATCTATAAAGTAGGGAAGGTATATATTTTGTGTTACACACAGTGTGGGGTCTGCTCGTAAGGTGCTTTGGCTGGGGGAACAGTATGTGATAATTATTGCTATTTTGATTAAATGTAGATATCTGAAGTGTTGTAGCTTGGGCTGGAGTTGTAAACTAGGCCTAGCTTTAGTCAAGTGAAGAAGTCTTCTCACAGAAATTGGTATAGGTGGCTACAGCTGAGAAGGTTGTCCTTGCCAGGGGGAGAAGCAGGGAGTTTGAAGGCATGGTGTGTTCCAGACCTTTCAGGATGAGGTGAATTGTGCCCAAGACTGCAGTGACTAAGGGGACTACCTCAGCTGAGGTACCTGCCCTGAGCTACATGAGGTGATGACACCTGCATCACACCACCAAAGGCAGATCTGATGAGCAGCTTCAGCCTGAGCTCCTGGCTTTTGATGGCTTTCTCCACTAACAGCTATTTCATGGTCTGTGTTTTAAAAACACGATGGCAATGAGAGGCTGGGTGAGGGGCAGAGCCTGCTGGGCTCTGCTGTGGGCTGTGCTGCAGGCGTGCTCCATGGCATCCTGTAGGCTGCTTAGCCTGTTCCAATTTCTGATTCCATGCCAGGCTGAGAATCCTTTGCCACTGTGCTCATCTGCTTAAACCAGGGAGGGGGGGGAACGTGCATGAAGGCTTCTTGTGGGGCAGCCCTGGCCCCACAGAGGCTTTGAGTTTAGTGAAGCTGGTTGGTGTGCCAGCCAGATCTTGGACTGGGCATCAGAACCTTCTGTGGCTTTTACATCCTGGTGCTATAACTTACCTGAGTAATCCCACCTCATTTAACATGTTGTATCCAGCAAATCAGCAAATCTAGGCAACTTGCAGCTTTCCTCTTTCACTTCAGCATTTATGTAGCACTTCAATGTAGAAATGAAGCAGCGTAAGCTCAGGTGCCATTAGTGCAGGATGGCATTTACCCACAGGAGGTTGTAACTTTGTGTTTTCCCAAGCTCAGTGGGTGGGTTGGTGCTGCTAGCAAGGTGTCTGCAACAGAGATGCAATGACTTGGCCAAGAACAGTGCAGCAGGATCTCAGCCCCAAGCATCCTCTTCCATTTAGCCAGTGCAACGGGACAAAGCTCTCCACGCTCATTCAGGCTGTGCCTGGAAATTCGAGGCCAGGTTCCCTTCCTCAGGCTAACTGTAGCTCTCAGTTCTTGTTAGTGCTCTGGTCATTCCTTCACTTGCCTCGGTGAGATCTTGTGTTAATGCCATTGCTGAAACTGATTAAAAGTAATAGGAGGTGACATTTCAAAGTACTGCTGGCTTTTAACAGTGGTCTGTGTTTTACAACCCCTGACGTTTAGCTGTGAAGACTGTCTCATGGACCAAATTCTGCTGGTGGGAAGTGTGGTGTGCACTGCTGCAGCTGGGCTGGTGGGAGTTGTGTCCAGTGATCTTGGTCTGCCTGCATACACTTCTTACCTGGGTTAGTGTAGTCCCATCGCTCTAGTGCTTTGTATCATAAAATACCTCTTCTTTCATGTTGTTGTGATGTGGCACAAACATCTGTGCCTGGGGGAGTGTGCCACCAGTGCTCTGCAGAACGATGGCCCTTCAAACCTTTCCCTTCTGGTTACACAGACATAGAATGGAAGATTCTTCTCTGCACTGTGGAGTTTCCCTGCTGAGCTGCCAGGCTTTTGATAGTTGGCTACTGTGTGCTGGCTGGTTTTATAGTCTTGCACAGCCCAGTTAGTTTCTCTCTGACTCAGTTTCCCAACTGCAGTTCTTCCTTTTGTCATTCTCTGTTGTGTCTGTGTGGAATAAAACCAATCTCCACCACTCCTGAGTCCACACGGTACAGCTGGTGTAATGATGCACCATTCTTCTTTGGGGTTCATGGGCAGAGCTGCTCTAAACACCCAGCAGAAGACAATCTGATTGAGGATGTTTCAAACCCTGGGTAAGGATGGTTCATTATTTAATCATGCCATAACACAAAGTAAAAAGACTTGGGGAAACACAGATACAAAGGTTTCAAGGAAGAGCTAGTCTTCCCAAACACTGACTTTGTGCAGAATAATCACAGTAAACCCTGGTTTGTGTTGTGTGGGATTTTATTTTTAATTTAGTCTTTTTTTGTTACTCAGAATTGTTCTGAAATTTTTCTTGTAATTAAAACTTACAGTCTGATAAGAATTCTTGTCAAATATGCTTTGCTGAATCTACACTGCAGGCTTTTTTTGAGGCTTTATTAATGTAACTAATTATGGAAGTGGGGTTAGCATTGTTAAGCTCACTGAACTCCTGCCTGCTTGGGTGGCAAATGGGCTAAGTTTTGTGTCTTCTGAAGCGTGAGAGCTGTTTTTAAGGCCCAGAACTCGATGGGAGACCTGCTCGAGGAGAATGCAAGGCTGGTTTGTGCTCTCCATCCCTCTGTTTCAAGGTGTAGTTGCTGCTCTTTGTAACAGGCTGCCCAGCTGGAAACGGCGGCTTCACGTGGGTGGCTTCAGTCCAGTTCTCTGAGAGGTGTGCCTGGGAGGCCAGTGCTGATGGGTTTTTCTCTTCCCTTCAGCTGGTGAACCGTCACTTGTACTCGGGCAGCGCGGACAGGACGGTGAAGTGCTGGCTGGTGGACACGGGGGAGCGGATCCAGACCTACAAGGCTCACAAACACAGCGTCAGCACTTTGAAATACCACGCTGGGATCTGTAAGCTGCCTTTCCTATTTTCAGCAATCCCCTGTCTCCTTTCCGATGTGTGCCTTTTGATCAAAGGTTGTTAATGGAGAATACTGTCGTTTTGAAGCCTTGTGAAATTGTCACTTTTTTTTTCAATTCCAGCATGTTTAGCTTCAGCATCAAACTTCGCTGCTCCACTCCATGTGGGAAGCTCAGACCTTCCCTCCATTTTCCACCTCCCTCTTCTGGTAAACAAAGAGACCGTTGCTTTGTTTCTGTTATGAAGGGAAGTGGCTTAAATCCTGAGCAGTCTGTGGGTTGTTTGTGTAGCCGTGTTTTAACCTCACTGCTCTGATGTCTGTCAGGCTGCTGCTGCACGCCTGGGGACAGCAAGTGCTGCTGTCGGGAGCACAGCCCTGTGCCAGCCTCTGCTGCCTTGTAGGTACTCTGCAATGGACTGTCCTGAACCACAGGCACATCTCGGGTGCTCACTGCTTCTTTCTAACCTTTAGGCTTCCTGTTCAGGCTCTGACCATCTCCTTTACTCATTTTCCATAAGTTCTTTTCCCTTTATCTGTCCTCTTTCATGTATTTGTTCCCCAAACCACCTTTCTGCAGTAGCATTTGCTTGCATTACTAATGCTTGGGACTCACTTCCCCCACTTTCAGTACTCCTGTTATTAGTGGTACCTGTACATAACTGCCTAGCATTGACATAGCAGTGAATTCTCACCATGAAACCTCCCTCTTTAAAGCCCTCTCTTGGCTGGCTTTCCCTCTGCACGTCATCCATGCATTTCTGGGTTTGGGTGGTGAGACTGTGCCTCTGTTTTTGTCAGCCTGAACCTCTCTATGTGTCATCTCTGTGTCCTGCTGCTCATGTCAGACCTGACATGCTTTCCCCAACAATTACTTCTCCAGCTGAGTGGTTGCTGTTTGGGTCTTGATATCTCTTTTGGCAGGTGCTCAGCATGGTGGCAATAACTGGCTGAGAACTCTGAGGTGGTACACGTGAGAAGAGAGTTGTACCTGCACAGGCAGGCACAGGTCAAGAGCAGTTGCCTGGCACCATGCTTGCCCTGGCTGACTGACCACATTCATAACCCAGCAACTGAATTGATTTCTTAATTATATTTGGAAACTCCTTTGTGTAACCAAGCCCATAGGTAGATTTTAATCAGGAAGCCTTTTTTTGGTTTTCCTTTCAGCATTAGACCCACAGCAGTATTTTTCTCCATTAAAATAGTTAATGGTAATTTAGAGGTAATTTCAGCTCTCCTCACCTACATTGCAGAACAACTCCACCCTCCCCTACCTGCAGGTTATAATAGCTGCTGATTTCAGCTTCTGCAGCTGCCTAGGAGGCTGGAATGGAGGGGGAAAGGGTCTGAGCTTACACTGCACCCTCAAGTTGTTGCTCAAAGATGCAGGCAGGTAGAGTGGGGCAAACAAACCAGAAATTTTAATCCAGGATGAACACTGGCAAACAAAATACTGAATATTTTTCTTGTGTGTGTGTTTTTCCCCATTTAATTAAAAAGATAGAAAACAAAACATTGAACTCATCAAGACTACCCAAAGGCAGGATAACTGTGCTAAGCTGTGTTGACCTGATCCACTGAAGAATTTCCATGTCTGGGTAGGAGACATGGAGACTGTCTCCTTCACTAATGAGACCTCCACAGCTGTGGTTTTTTCAGTGTTGATCTGCAACCAGTATAGACATGACCAGATTCTCTAAAATCATCATAAAGAAAGTGTAGGCTCAAAAAAAGATTCATTATCTGATGCCACCCAGATGCTCTGCAGCTCTCTTTCTTCCCCCTCACCCTGCCAACCCTGTCCCTGCCATACACATACATTATTTTTCCACAACACTTATTTTCTTAAAATGCAGGCATCATTGCTGCATTTAGTCAGACCTGTGAAGAACATCCTGATAGTGTGATAGAGGTGTTCTCAGATGTTATTTAAGATCTCATTTTAAATGTAAACATACTACGTGTCAAACAGGGAGAATTGAATTGTTCCACTTGAAAGGTAGAAATAATGTCGTGGAAAAATATTAGGGACTTGTCTGAAAAGAATTTAGATAGATTTTAATTCTTGAAAGAGGAGGTTCCCCTTTAAAATGAATTTATGATTGCTTGCATTACTGTAATACAGGGATTACATATCCACACAGTATCTAATAGTTTTGTTTCAATCAGAATTACAAAGACATCTTCACTGGATAACAAATTTTGGAGCTAGTGCAGCTTAAAATGGTGATGGTTGACCTGGGACAGATCAGCCCTCTGTGTCCATTCTCTGGCTTTCAAAAATGTGGAGAAAATACTTCAATAGAAATGATGTTTGTTGTAGTTTATGTCACATTTGCACCAGTGCAAGAACATGGAAAGAATCTCAGCTGAGAAGCAGTTGCTTTCTGTTAGATCTTAATTCTGTTGGTTGCTATCTGATGAGTCCTCAGAAGGCTCATTGCCCCGAAGAGTTTATGGTCTACATGGGAAGATATAGTACAAGAGTGAGAGGAAAAATAAATATGTGTTTCCAAAATGGCTTTCTAGTGTAGAGGGAGTCCAGACAGATCTGAGAGTTAAGCTTTAAATCATCAGAATGTGTTTCTAGTGGCTTTCCTCAGTCTGCTTGTGTAATTAATAGCATGGGGACTATTCTCAATCTAATTTACTTAATGACATTATGTTGGTTAATTCTGTCCTACAGTGTGTGCACGCTCATTTAAAATTTAATGCAGGCTTTATTTTTTTTCATGTTGCAAAAATTGCAAGGGAATATTTAAAACCTGTTTTCCTTCCCAAGGGTCTGTGAAATTTAAGTAAAAAAGAAAAATGAGTCGTCAATTTTATATCATTTTGGTTTTGTTGTTTGTTTGTTTCACAGGTGGTGTATATATAAGCATATATTTAAATGCTAAACCTAGGTTAGATCAATAGCTCTCCTTTCAAAGAGAGAGGTGCAAAGAGACTTCCTAAATCTGGAGTGACAGTTCAAAAGACCTAAAGGATGTCTGTCAAAAGCAAAATCCTGATGGCAATAGCTGAAGTAAACTGACAGCTGCACAGTGGAAAAAGCTCTTAACTGGTTCCTGCTCTCTGCGAGTGTGTGACAGTGTGGAGGGATTTCCATTCACTGGAAAAAAGTCTGTGCCCTGTTCCCTGCTTTACACCGTTGCTGCTCCTTGCAGAGTGGGACAGGGTGGTTCCTCAGGGTTGTGTTGGCAACTGAATTTATAGGGGCCTGTATAAGATGACATTGATTTTCCACAACCAGATGCTCTCATCTCTTGTAGTCCTGAATTTGCTGCCATGATAACTTCTTCACCTCTCTTTAGGAATCCAGTGCCTGAGTTCTCCCAGAAGAATCTTGCAGGAATCTGTTGTCTTCAGGCCACTTTAGTTTGGCAAAAATCTTTCCATGCTAGTGGCTGTGGCAGAGGCATGAAATGCAGGGAGCAGTGGTTGTACTGCTTTTTGCAGGGCTGAAATATTTATCTGTAGAGAAACTTGAGGAGATGGAGTTAAGTGAGGGAAAGTGAGTGTCTGTTAAGACAGTTTGTAACCCATGAAGCACATAAACGTGCTTCTATCGGGGCATATAGCTAAGTATAAAATCTAAATATTCAACACTGCCTCAGACTTTCTGGCTGCAGCAGTTCTGGGGATCAGATGCGAGGATCCTGAAGCACTGAGAAGTTGTTCTTAGGGCATCTTAACATGTTCTGAGGAAAGCTGCTGAGCAGCCAGAATCCCTGCTCATGCTTCCTTTGCCTACCCCTGCCCTCAACGCAGCACATAGAGGACAAGAGTTAGAGCCAAAACCTCCAAATAACTCTGTGCCATACTGAAACAGCACTTACAGCCTGGGCCTTGAATTGCCTAAATTGAATCTGCTGCTTGCTAAGATCCTAAGCTATGGGATTTAGCTGAAGAAACTGCCACACTGGAAGAATTTATGGAGCTTCTCTGTGAAGCTGCCTACACAAGGCACTCACCTCTGAGGACAGCAGATTTGACTGTGGTATTTCAGCAGAGACAGCCCTACCTGCTGCTAGTAAGCTTATGCTTGGAAACAGAGAAGAAAGGGTATGTTTTAATAAAGCTAAACTGAAATTCCTCTTGCTGGTATGAGAGAGGGTGGTGCTGCTCCTGTCATGTGCAGCTTCCCTGTACAGATGCTTCTGCTACTTGATGCAGCAGCAGGAGTGATGCAGATAGTGTAGTGCTGAATGGAAACCTGGAAGTAACTCTGGTAAAACAAATGGAAGGCTTAGTGGAAATCCTGAAAACCAGACTTGAGATAAATTGCCTGCTTTGAATTACTGAGGCACGTTTAAGCAGGGAAATGTACATGGAAAAGCAGAAATAGGTATTTGGGGTATGTGTGGAGTGAAATGCTGATGTTTGGAAGAATTTCAGGCTTAAGGCAGTTCCGTGTTTTGAAAGATATGAATGAAAACAAGCAATGCTGAGGGCAGTGAAACGGAAATGATCTGAACTTGCTGTCACTGGGGAGAGAATCAAGCCTAAAAACGACAGGTCATGCTCCTTTGTGAGCTAGCTTCAGGTGGGTTTGAGCTGATTGTCCTGTGGTTGCCTTGCAGTGTTCACGGGAAGCGGCGACGCCTGCGCCAGAGCTTTCAACTCCAAGAGTGGTGTCCTGCAGAGGATCTTCCGAGGACACAAGTTCATCATCAACTGCATCCAGGTCAGGAAGGGGGTTCTTTGCTGGGATTTCCCACTTCTGAACACCTACATTTTTTTGTTTTGGTGGGAACTGGCATGGCTGGCTGTCCTGCGTGACTTGGGTTGGATGCTGTTCTAGGGCAAGAGAAATAACAGACTTGAATATTCCTTTTGTAATTTTAGACAAACTCATTAATAACAAGGATAAGCAAAACCACAGGACAGGTCCCCAGGGACAGTCCTGTCTCTGTGATTGGAAGGTTTTCGGGTCAGGTTAGACAAAGGACCCTAAGAAATGAGACAGATGGAACTGACCCTGCGTAGGGGCAGGACATGGAGTCTGACCTTGTGGGACCCCTCCCATTACAGGCCATGATGATGTTTGCAGCTCTCTAGGTGGAAGAGACATTTCTGCCTTACCCAAGTGGAGTACTACACAGTGTTGTCCCACTTACCCCCGGGCATGGTGTCCCTCAACAGCCTCAGCAGCTTCTTACCATCCTTCCTGACCTTAGTGAAGAGCTAGTGGTGAATGCCACATGCTACCCTGTATATAATGTAAAAATGAAGAGTCTTTGCCACCAGCTTAAAATTTTTCTAGAAGTTAAAATTAAGAAGTCCCTGTAAAGTTGCTTGCATATTAGCAAGACTCAAATGATATTGGTGTTTAAAAGTTAGAAGGGGAGGAGTTAGTAATCCTTGGTGGCAATGCAAAGCCCAGGCTCCTGCAGGGAACCCTGAGGAGCAAGTTTAAATCCATGGCTGCTTTGTGCATTCAAGAATCCCCATCTCCCTGCATCAGGGCATCAGTGAAAGCTGTGTGCAGGATGAGTATTTTGATTAAGGATGTGAGGCACAGTAAATATTTCTGGCAGGCTGACAGTCAAAGAAAATGAGGAGATAAAAATTCCTTTTGGAGCTGATGCCAAGCGTTTGGGTTGTAAATATGGTTGTTCTCTGTATTGTCCTGAATTGGTAAGTGGCAAGTTGGTCTTGGACTGCAAACTTCAGTTTAGGTTTTAGATTTTGGTGCCTCCTTAAGCTCCATCTTCAAAACCAGCCATCTGAAACCAGCACGGAACCTCCCAGCTACAGCCTGCTCTGTTTCGTTCCTCACTGCTTTTCTAGTGGGTTTAGGTTACAAGTAACTCCTGCTGTTTATATTTTATGGCTCTGTGAAGTGGTTGAGAAACGAGGCCCGACTTGGTAACGCCTCATCCCACTTCAGCAGCTTTTGTGATAGTTTCTCCTGGCTCTGGTGAGGAGGGGCCAGGCCGCAGGCACCAGCACGGAGCTGCGTTTGCTGATGTTGGGTGGTTGGATTGTGCCCATCCCGAGCCGTACAGTTCAGTGGTACGTGTGACCCTCTCCTTCCAGATCCACAACGAGTTGCTCTACACAGCCTCCCACGACGGCACACTGAGGGTCTGGGACATCCGGGGCATGTGCAAGAGGAACAAGCGGCGACTGAAGAAGGAGAGGTCTGCCCAGGGCAGGAGCTCCCAGAAGGGAAGTCTGTCCCGGCTCTTCAACAACAGAGTCGGCTGTATGGTACAGCAGGAGAACGGGGAGCACGAGGCTGTGGAGCTCATGTGACTGTCCAGAACAGACTTCCCCTCAGTGCCCAAAGCTGAGCCTTTTCTTTGCTGCACCCCTGTGTCCGTGTAAGCCAGGACTTGGAAAGAGACGGGAAAGGGCTTGGCTTGGACCTCTCTTTCAGGAGCAGGGATTCTCTGTGACTGCCAGATGGAGCCAGGTCAGATACTGCAGGTGACTCCCAGCTGAGCAGCACAGGGGTCTGGAGGGACTGCAGCATGCCTCAGGTGAGGTCCCTGGAGGCGTGGTGTGCAGTTCAGAACTTCTGTTACGACTGCTTGTTTTCAGTTCCCTCTGGCTGCCCAGTGTCTAATAGGACATGTTTTCCCCTGCTCACATGCCCGCTCTTCGGCCGCATGGAGAAGTGAAAGGTGCCCAGCAGTACAACTACAAGGTCAGGTTTTGGCTGATCAGCCCCACCAAGGCAGGATGTTGTGTCTCAGCAAAGGTATTTAGAGCAGACTAGACCTCTCTGGGAAGCTGGGAGTAGTAGGACAGAAATATTTTTAAGATAATATAAACTTGAGAACAAGCAAAGGCCTTTTGTCCCTCTCCCAACAACCTAGTGGGTGTTTTACATTTTACAGTCTCACACTTGGCAGAGGAACCATCAGTGGCCTCACACATGGCTTCTGGGTGCTGACCCCCAGGTGGGAAGCTCCTGCTGGGCTCTATAGGGTCAGAAGCTGTTCACTAGCCAAGAGAAGTTCTCCCCGTCTTCTTCCAGGTTCATCCCTCTCCGATAACCACTGAGCCATGAAGAAACAAGGGTTCTTCTATTTTTCTATTGGCAGATATAACTAGTACAACAATCTCTAACCACATGTTTTTATTTTTATGGCTTTATTTATTCTGTACTACAGCAAGATAAAAGTGCTGTAATCCTTTTTTTCCAGTGGACTAATAAACCTGTGGCATCTACAGATAACTGTCCAGTTTTTGTTTTCTTCTCATTTAGAGGGTGTTTGGGTGTCTGCAGCTGCAGAGCAGTTAATGAATGGAATATGGGGGGGAAGGTGGTGGCTGGGGGTTGCTAGGGTGACATCTTGCTGTGCAAGCTATTTTGTTTGTATTTTGCTTATGAGGCCAATGCTATGTAGGAGGCCTTCAGCAGCAGTGGGCAGAGCTTCACAGATGGCCTGGGCTAGACTTTTAAACAAAAAATATCAAACTTCAGTATGTTAGACATGAGAGCTTAACTGGCCCTACAGCAGCTGCACATGCAATTAGCAAATGGATTTGATAGAGATAAAGCTCATGAAGCGTGGCAATAATAAGCCATTACACTTCTGCCTGTTGCTAAATATGCCACAGTGTCTTCAAATACATGGTCAAAACTAACCTAAAACTTTTAGCCAACGCCTCCTGCCCTGCTGATTGCTTAGAACTGCCCTGCAGTTAGCAGGGGCAGTGCTGGCAGAATCACACCCTGGGGCAGAACAGCTTCTCCAGCCAGCACTACGTGTTAGCGTGCTGATTTTAGATTCCCCGAGGACAAATGCTCACTCCTGAAGTCGTTACTGCCAGGTTGCCGGGCACACCCCTTCAAAGAGGAAAACGGTGCCACAGAGCCCAGCTGTGCAGGGGAGGCCAGGGGGCTGGGGAACCCCTCAGGCTAAAGGAAGGAATAAATCTGTACTTTCCTCAACTGCTTCTTGTTAAAACTACATCCATCACTTTAGATGTTACCAATTTTAAATTCTTTTTAATAGTCTGGTTTTGCTCTGTTTTATCCAGTGATTCCTCCACACTCACCTGTGGAGAAAGGGGAGGTGATGGTTGCTGGGGTGTTTTGTTTTTTCCTCAGCAGTGCACATGACTGCCTGTAGAAGTGTTTCAGCCTTCTGCAAAGGACTCAGAATTTTTTTTTTTTTTTTTTTTTTTTTAAAAACAGAAGTACAAAATACAAATAATTCCTTAACAGTGTAATCCCTCCCTGGTTGTTCCTGTCCTTGGCTAAGGGAGCCAGGAAAGAAACCCCCCCTACAGCCGCCTCTGAAGATGTGCCAGAAGGGAGCAGGCAGCTCGCAGCCCGAAGCCGATTCAGCCGCTGTCGCG